AGGAGGCGGATCTGGGCAAGGAGTTCGGTAATCCGGGTTAGCTTCTGTTTCTTGAGTCTAGCGCCGTGAGCGATGAGAATAACTCTGATCGTCGCTTTGTGCGCTTCCCAAACTGTAGGGGGACACATCCGGGGTGGCATTTTCTGCAAAGAAGAGGCGTAAATCATGTTCTAGGGCGGCGGTGATGCCGGGGTCGTGTAGAAGGGACTCGTTGAGTCTCCACTGCCACGGTCATGGAGGGGGGCCAGTGAGGGAGAATGTGAGAAGGACCGTGGCATGATCCGAAAAGGTGATATTCCCAATATCCGTGGAGGGGACACGGGGGAGCTGATTGTGATGTAGAAAGAAAAAGTCGATACGGGTGTATCGCTGATGGAGATGGGAGAAAAAGGTGTAGTCTCTTGTCGAAGGGTGCTGAATGCGCCATGCATCGGTTAGTTGGTGATCAAAGAAGCATTTTTTAATGCGGTTCAGCTTGCTGAAGGAGAGATGGGAGGAGGACGCGGAAGAGTCCAGGCGGGGGTTGAGGACAAAATTGAAATCCCCTCCCAAAATGAGGAGCCCCTCGTGGAAATCAGCCAGACGGGACGGGACTCGTGTGAGGGAGGTGATCTGGTCATGGTTCGGCAAGTACATGTTGGCTATGGTATCTGTTTGGGAGTCAACGTGCCCTTCACAAAGAGCACCTGGCCTTCTTCCCCAGCATAGCTATCTATAAACAACCACGGAAGGGAACGGGAGAGAACAGTGCTAACGCCTCTAGAGCGTTTGTCGGGCGAGCTGCTGTGATAGAGAGTGGGATATCGTCGGTCACCTAGCCGGGGTATATAGTCAGTCTGGAAGTGGGTTTCCTGGAAGAGCGCCACATCAATTCGTTGACGGTGGAGATCTCGGAGGAGCATTGTGCGCTTTTCCGGAACATTGAGTCCCTTGGCGTTGAGGGAGAGGACTTTAAGAGGGGGCATCTCCAAGGCTCTGATGGGTTGATAGAAGGGGAAGGAAAAGAAAGCAGAAAAAGGAGGGGGAGGGGGGAATGAGAGGGAGAAGGATCAGATGAGGAAGGTGGGTGAGTGTAGGGGGGAAAAGGAAGGAAAGAGAGGTGTGTGGGGAGTTAGTTGAGGGGGGTAGTGGGTGACAACTAAAGAGCTGGTGAACCAGCTAGTCGGACCACCACAGATCCTCAAGGGGAGTTAAGGGTCGCCGAGGGCCTGGGTAATACCGAAGGCCTATGTGGGGGAAGGTGGTGGGCTACGGCCTACGAACAGGGAAACACAGTAGGGGTAAAAACCCAACACTGTTAGGTGCTACCACCGAGACAGCAGGAATTGCATGAGTAGGGACACGCAAACAAAGTCCCAACGTCAGCAACAAAGACAACAATTATTGCATCTTTAAGTATAGAAAAATAACATCAGAAATTATGAACCCTTAAATTAACCGCAACATTTGCAACCGAAAATATAACAATGTAGGAGGCACCCCATGGTGCCGCAGAGCTGCCCCTGAAGGCCGGCACCAAGCGTCCACTGGCACGGGAAGGGGATACCGGGAGGGGTAGGGGGAAGGAGGGACGGGATTAGGAAGGGGGGTAGTAGGACGGGCGGGAGTAAGGGAAAGGTACCTTTTTTACTTCCCGATGAGTGGTCCGCTGCACCGAATATGGCCTCCAAGGAGAGCTTTTGAGGGGGGTGCTTCTTCAGGTCCCGGCCAGCAGTAGAACCCCGCAATGGGGTGGGTGCGCTGGGGGGAAACACAGGTGGAAAGACATCAGAAATATCACCCAACACATAACAGCGAAGACCTCAGAGAGTCGACCTGGTACCCACAGTGATACACAGTGGACATCCGTCCAGGGGGGTATAGAGCCAACGTTTCCGTCGATCAGATGGGGGGGGGGGGGAAGGGGGT